TGTCGGATTTATTGCTAAAACCTTCCGGGAAGGGGAAGCCCCCTAAAATGCCTATTTTCTATGACATATTCGACAGGTTCCTAGGGGATCGGGCGAATGCGCGTCCCCCGCGCTCGCGGGCCCCTTGATTCCCGCAACTACTACCGCGCCTCCTCCTAGTAAGTGTTGATTTGTTGTTTGATGTGATCCTTTTTTTTTACTGCTCATAATTTAAGATTGATGCTACTAATACAACCATTCAACAAGGTGGCATGTAATAATGAAACCACCCAACAACCCCATATGCGACGCCCATCACCGGCAGATGTGGCGTCTCCTACCACCGCATCAGCGGTGTCTGCAGGCCCGATGGCGTAGCGGCATCAGCAAGCCGAGCGCAGTCGGCTCGTCGCTCACCCAATCCCCGCCGAGTGACGGCTTCGCCTGGTCACTCTCCTTCGCGCCAACCATTTTCGTCTCCGTCTACGTCTGCGCTTGCGCCGGACGTGTCCCCCGCCGCTGCCACCGCCACTGCATCTCCATCCCGTTCACACGTCGTCGGCGCGAACGCGGGTGTTGCGCTCCGTGGCCGCGGTGTCTCCCGCCGGCCTGGGCCTGCGGCTGCCGAAGAGGAACATTCGGGCAACGACACAATGGGAGGTGGTGTTGGTAACCACATGAACTCAAGTGATTCAGTGGTGTGTGCTGAAATAGCGGGGATAATTGCGCAATCGGTAAAAGGGGCTATGCGGGACCAATTTGATGAGTTTTTAGAACGTACCCAAGAGATGGTTGAGAGAGCTCAGGATGCCCGAGCCTCCAGGAAGCGTAGAAGTACGCCGCCAGGCGAGATCGACGACGAGTCGGAGTAAAGCCTGCATCGCGCGACGAGAAATGCGGGCCTCCGCAACGGGTCCTTCCAGCCACCAAGTGTTGCGCTCATGAGGTTCGTTCAGGCGGTGACGGAAACCGAGGATGAGGTCGATGTTGTGAAGCACGATGCAGGCGGATACGACCTGCGGGGCGCGGATGACATCGCACTCGAGGCGCCCGTCCAGGATGCGCCATTTGGTCTTCAGCCTCCCGTTCACTTGCTCCACAATCATTCGAGTGCGGGACTGCTGGAGGTTCCAGACTCGCTGATGGTCGGGAAGTGCGATGCCGGGAAGGGCATGATAGTGTGTAGATGTAGGGCCTCAATCCATAGGCAGCGTCCGCTACTAGCGTGTAGTCCAAAATCCCTCCTTCTTCAATTTTAGTTCTTGCAGGGCTGTTCATGAAACCCGAGCGTCGTTGACGCTTCCGGGATATCCTACAAAAAAGTCCCAGATGAGACCCATGCTGTCGCAGATTAGTTGGCAAATAATAGAAAAGAAACCTTTCCTATTTCTGAAGTCTTCGCAATGTGGTCCCATGCCACGGCAGTGTATGTAGGTCCCGTCCATGGCGCCTACCACCCAGGTATTCCGGCTTGAAGGCGAAACTCTGTCTCAACAAAACTGCAGCATGTCCATGTCTGGCCACACGACCCACTTGGGCAGGACTTCGTTGACGAAAAAAAACGAACCTCGCAAACAGCTTGTGGGCGTGGGAGAAAGAGTAGCCGAAGTGAAGCCAATTTCGCAAAATGTGATACCATGCCCAAGCCTGCTAAGTCCCATGGCGACGAATACAAAGTTATGCACAGGATGCTTAAGTGTAGCGAAACGGCTGCGCTATACTGGCGCACTAAGTACACGAAACGCGTTTGTCAACCCGCAAATACTCATAGAAAGTGTACTCGGGCAGGGATGTTATCAGTCGAAACCAACGCACACGTGCGTCAAGGCGGTCGCCAAGCACGAACACCCGGGTCTGCCTGAGAGTGAAGGCCGAGACGAGCGTGGGGAGTGCCGTGCCAACAGCGTTGAGAACGGGAAGCATCACCATCTGCAAGTACCCTTGCCATACGATGCCGAGAAAGCGGACCAGCTGTAGGGTTGTCATGTTGGGCGAATGACGAGTATACAAGGTGTTGCCACGGGGGCTATTTGTACCGTGGTTACACACTCGGCGCGGAAGGTGAGTTGGAGCTCTAGGTCTTTGTAAACCGAGGCGCAAAATGTTGACGTGGCGCACTGTCAAGACTCTCGAACCGGGTAACCTATGATGTTGATGTGTGGCTCGGCTCGTTTTTGCAAGTTTGAATGTTCGGGGTTCGACCTTGTATGTGTGTGTGATTTTTACAGTGTGGTAAGCCCGATGTTCGAACTTCGATAGAAGGAAATTCGAACTTCTTTCATTGTAAGTTCGAAACTAAAATTCGCCCTAAAAACATAAACTTTTACAAATTTCAAAGACCTCACACGCCCTAAATCCGTCAGTGTTTACCTCGTTTCCGGTCATCAGTCTTCTGTTTAGGTCCCCTAATGTTGTTTTTTCCTTGCCCTTCCGTGAGCAGGAGCAGGAGCAACACCTAGGTGGGCGGGGGAGGTAACGGGGCTCTCCCTCTACTGGGAAGTTTTGTCAATTTCAGCTGTATTTTCGTTTACGTTTTACTAAGTTCCTCTCTTGTGTTCTGTCTTTGTGCAGAAGGAGCTCCATGGGGAGCTGGCGGCGAGCAAGGGGATAAACTGAGTGGTCTCCCTTTTCCTAGTAAGTTCCGTCAATTTCAATTTCGTTCTTCCTTATCAAAACACTAACGTTCTCCCTTGGTTTTGGTTTGTGGCAGGAGTGTGAGCAGGCGGAGAGCGCGGAGAGGGAAGCCGCGCGCCTCGATGGAGCAAGGAGCTTGGAGCGGCAAGCTTGGAGCAACCAGCCGTGTAAGTGGGTCTGGGCCCTGGCCCCCTGGGTGGTTAGGTCTACGTTAGGAGCGTTAGTCAGAACGTTTAGGAGCGTTAGTCAGATCGTTAGGCTCGAATTAGGCCTAGCTAGGGGACGAGTTAGCCTTAGCTAGGCTCGGATCTGGTTGCGGTCTAGTCTAGACCTAGGCTCGAACTAGCTAGGACGTTAGGGTTCGGACGGTCAGGTGTGGTTGGGCGTGGTTGGGTTTGGTTAGGGCTGTCTTTGATCTTCCCGTCTCTTCCTTACTGTGGTCAACATGGCGGAACTCGCTGCCCTGTATATAATCTTAACCGTTCCCCCTCCTTTCTGCCCTGTAAAATAAGTCCCCTCCCTCCCAGACAGACCCCGAACGAATGGCCCTAGACCAAGTACCAAGAAAGACAAGAAGACTAAGAACCAAGAAAGACAAGCTGTGGATCCGCACTGCAGATGCGGTGGTTGACACTTAGGGGATCTTAGGGTGCATTCCTGGCTCGTGGCAGGGCCACTGTAGATGGCAGCCTGCCACGAACACATAAAACGCCAGGTTGGTGTCAGGAATTTTGGCGCGCAAATACAGGTGCGTGATTGGGCAATGTCCCAAAAATGTCATGTCAATTCCACCAAAATCGTGTCGCGCGCGACTCGGGCAAAATGTTGGTGGCATGCGGTTTTCCCGCATGCCACCAACAGTGCCTGCTACAGTGGCCCTGCCACGAACCAGGAATGCACCCTTAGAAGTTATTTGTAATCACTTGTAGCTCTGTAATCAGATGTATAAGTATCTCTGTTCTTTACGACGAAGTGACTTTGCTTGGTAGACGAATACGTAAGGAAATGAAACGAAAACTAAACCTTTTCCTCTGGCTGTGGAGAAAACAAACCTTGGTGAAGTTCAGGCAGCCACACAAGCATTGTCTCCCGATTGTACGTTAGGGTGGCATTCGTGGCCCGGGTCAGAATTCAGGTCAAAAGCCTTACAAACGTTAGTCCTCCAATTTGGCTCATCCGAACTCGGATTTGCCTCACAAACGAGCCACTTCGGGTCTTCCGAGCTTCCACTTCGGGTCTGACCTGAGTCTGACACAGGCTACGAATGGCCCTTAGTCGCGAAGTGACAATCAGCTTTAGGATCAACGTCAATGTTTGGCCGTCGTTCCACTGAACTCTTACCGTTCTCTACCGTATTACGCTGACTACTACTGACGATTTCTTTTTGCGATCACAAGGCGATTGAGAAGGCTAAAATACATCGACGGAAAACAAACTTGTCACTCATCCTGCTCACGATCACACGGGATTCTTCGTGGGACGGTTCTGTCTGTCTGCACCAATTTCCCTGTGCGAATTACCTCGCAGGTTGTGAGAATCGAGCCAGGGAGTGGTGGTGAGGTGACGAGAAGCCTCCCTCTGATGGTGCTGCTGTATATCATGGTCACTTACGAATTCCATTAGGCCTTTCGTTCATTTCCGGCGAACACCGCACCGCACCACCATGTCTCTCGCTGTTATCGTCGTCTCGCTCCTCTTGCTCCGCGGCGCATCGCAGCCGTCCGTCATGGCGCAGATGCCCGACGTCATGCCACGTGGGCAGATCGGCGGCGAGGCGGGTATCGAGCGAGCCATGTCTCTTTTCCGCGTGAGTTCTCGCTCCCTCGCTCGCTCCCGTCTGCACACAGCTCCTCGCGCCGCTCTCCGCGCCTCCGCGCTACTCCGTCCTCGCGTCACGCTCTCTCGTCACCTCAACTCATCTCCTCACACCCTTCGTCTTGATCCCTCAGATATGGGAGGACGCGTACGGGCTGAAACCCGACGTCCACATGCCGCCCGCACGCTCCCATTCCCTTCCCCTCACGCTTCCATTCCCTTCGCACCCCGTCTTTTCTGATCCGTCAGATATGGGAGGAGGCCTATGGATTGAAACCCGACGTTCACTTGCCGCCCGCGAAAATCACCTTGCCGGCCATCGTGCCGCGCGCGCCGCACCTGGAGGACTGCGAGGCGCTGACGGCGGCGAGGAAGGAGTCGGAGCGACGCGGAGGGGACGGGAGCCTCCCTGTGGGCGCGGGCTGTGAATAACTGCTCGGAATGCAACCCCCAACCACCATGGGTACTATGGCTACTATGGCACCACATAGACTAGGGTGTAAGCGAGACAATGGTGTAGGGAAGGCAATTAGTAGATTTTCCTCTCCAACTACTCATCACCATCCCCTGCCCACCCCCTCCCAACCCCCAGGTGTGCGTGTCCGATGCGGGCAATCTACCGCTGACGCGTGTGGTGCAGTGGGACCTGTGGTGGGAGCACCAGCTGTTTCCCCTGCCATTTTCTCTTCCATGTCTCTTCCCACCCCACCTCCCCTCGCGCCTGCCTTCCCCCCAACCAGGTGCGCAGGTCCGATGCGGACAATCTACCGCTGACGCGAGTGGCACAGCGGGACCTGTGGGAGCACCAGCTGCTTCCCCCGCCTCCTCCCAATCTCTCTCTCCCCACGGCTCTCCCCACCTCCCCTCGCGCCTGCCTTCCCCCCAACCAACCAGGTGCGCGGATCGGATGCAGACAATCTACCGCTGACGCGGGTGGTGCAGAGGGATCTGTGGGAGCACCAGCTGTTCCACGGCAGCTGCGACGGCAGGCGCCTGCTCGTCGTGCCGTGGCCCACCAAGACCCACCACGGCGTGGGGTCACAGGTGGGAGAGGGCGACTTTTAAGACGTCTCAAAAGTCGGAATCTGTGGAGGCACCAGCTCGCAGGTAGAAGAGGAAGAGGGCGGGGCTTATGGAGGTACCGTGAGAGTCGGAAAGAAAAGAGTGATTTGGCTGCTAGGTGGGTATTGGGGGGCTTGCTAACGAGAGTCGGGGTGCTCGCAGGTAAGAGGGGCTCCCTCACTGGTCAGTGGTTTCCTCCCTCCGTTTCTTGCACCCACCCACCCACCGGCACCACCAGATACACGTGATGAGCACGTTTCTGAGCCAGGCCTTTTTTGCCATCATTACCCCCATCGTTACCCCCATCATTACCCCCATCAATGCCCACCAGATACACGTGATGAGCACGTTTCTGAGCCAGGCCTTTTTGCCATCATTACCCCCATCGTTACCCCCATCATTACCCCATCAATGCCCACCAGATACACGTGATGAGCACGTTTCTGAGCCTGGCCTTGAGTCACAACCGCAAACTCCTTCTCTCCTGCTTGCCTCCCTTGCATCATTACCCCCATCATTACCCATCAGATACACGTGATGAGCACGTTTCTGAGCCTGGCCTTGAGTCACAACCGCAAACTCCCTTCTCTCCTGCTTGCCTCCCTTGCATCATTACCCCCATCATTACCCATCAGATACACGTGATGAGCACTTTCCTGAGCCTGGCCTTGAGTCACAACCGCACATTCCCTTCTCTCCCGCCTCCCTCCCTTGCACCCACCCACCGGCACCATCAGATACACGTGATGAGCACTTTCCTGAGCCTGGCCTTGAGTCACAACCGCACACTCGTGCCCGCGCCTGGCTCGTACGACCGAGCATTCACTGAGACATGCAATTGTGAGCTCTACGTGTAGCTTGTTTGTACTAAGCCCGCCTGGATTTGTTGAGGCGCCTTAATATTCGTGCCCACACCGAGACATGCAATTGTGAGTGCCACGCCCAGCTTATCAAGACATACAATTGTGAGGTTGCAGGTACGCCCAGCTTATACTCAGCCTGCTTTTGTGCGCGCCTGCGACCAGGTTGTTCTTGAGAATCCGCAGAAACCAACTTGTCTCAATTGTGAGCTCAACCTCTTCCTTTTGAGACGTCTCAAAACACTTCTTCAATTGTGACCTCAACCACTTCCTTTTGAGACGTCTCAAAACACTTCTTCAATTGTGACCTCAACCACTTCCTTTTGAGACGTCTCAAAACACTTCTTCAATTGTGACCTCAACCACTTCCTTTTGAGACGTCTCAAAACACTTCTTCAATTGTGACCTCAACCACTTCCTTTTGAGACGTCTCAAAACACTTCTTCAATTGTGACCTCAACCACTTCCTTTTGAGACGTCTCAAAACACTTCTTCAATTGGTGACCTCAACCACTTCCTTTTGAGACGTCTCAAAACACTTCTTCAATTGTGACCTCAACCACTTCCTTTTGAGACGTCTCAAAACACTTCTTCAATTGTGACCTCAACCACTTCCTTTTGAGACGTCTCAAAACACTTCTTCAATTGTGACCTCAACCACTTCCTTTTGAGACGTCTCAAAACACTTCTTCAATTGTGACCTCAACCACTTCCTTTTGAGACGTCTCAAAACACTTCTTCAATTGTGACCTCAACCACTTCCTTTTGAGACGTCTCAAAACACTTCTTCAATTGTGACCTCAACCACTTCCTTTTGAGACGTCTCAAAACACTTCTTCAATTGTGACCTCAACCACTTCCTTTTGAGACGTCTCAAAACACTTCTTCAATTGTGACCTCAACCACTTCCTTTTGAGACGTCTCAAAACACTTCTTCAATTGTGACCTCAACCACTTCCTTTTGAGACGTCTCAAAACACTTCTTCAATTGTGACCTCAACCACTTCCTTTTGAGACGTCTCAAAACACTTCTTCAATTGTGACCTCAACCACTTCCTTTTCCTACCATGCTCAACCGCCTCCATTTCTCACACCCACTCCCCATTTCCCACCCACCACCCCCATGCCCCCCCTGCTCCCCCTCCCCCCTTCCTTTCCCCCAGCCACCAGCACGGGCGGGGCGTGGGGTTGCTACTTCTTCCCCATAGTGAATCCCGACTGTGAGCGCGTGGTATCGGGTATGACAGCCAGCAGCACCATGCCCTCCGTGCTCCCCACCCACTCCCACTCCCCACTCCCCTTCCCCTTGTCTTTCCCAGCCACAAAGACAGGTGGGGCGTGGGGTTGCTACTTCTTCCCCATAGTGAATCCCGACTGTGAGCGCGTGGTCTCGGATATGACAGCCAGCAGCACCATGCCTCCGTGCTCCCCACCCACTCCCACTCCCCACTCCCCTTCCCCTTGTCTTTCCCAGCCACAAAGACAGGTGGGGCGTGGGGTTGCTACTTCTTCCCCATAGTGAATCCCGACTGTGAGCGCGTGGTCTCGGGTATGACAGCCAGCAGCACCATGCCCTCCGTGCTCCCCACCCACTCCCACTCCCCACTCCCCTTCCCCTTGTCTTTCCCAGCCACAAAGACAGGTGGGGCGTGGGGTTGCTACTTCTTCCCCATAGTGAATCCCGACTGTGAGCGCGTGGTATCGGATATGACAGCCAGCAGCACCATGCCCTCCGTGCTCCCCACCCACTCCCACTCCCCACTCCCCTTCCCCTTGTCTTTCCCAGCCACAAAGACAGGTGGGGCGTGGGGTTGCTACTTCTTCCCCATAGTGAATCCCGACTGTGAGCGCGTGGTCTCGGATATGACAGCCAGCAGCACCATGCCCCCTCTCTCCTCTGACAAAGTGGGCCACAATCGCCTCGCTGCCTCGGGCGACCTTGTGGTGCATCTCAACGCCAGCTGCGACAGCCAGATGAAGCTTGAGGCGCGTGCTGCTAAGTAAGTTGTAGGAGGATGGGGAAGGAAAGGAATAGATGATTTTTTATCGACTCACAAGGCTGCCTTGGCCGACCCTGTGGTGTATCTCAACGTCAGCTGCGACAGCCAGATGAAGTTTGAGGCGCGTGCTGCTAAGTAAGTTGTAGAGGGGGGAAAGGGGGGAGGAAGGGGAAGTGGGAAGGGGAATGGCTAACTTCTGAGTCGACCCAAAAGCTTGAAGCCCGTGCTGCCACGTGCGTGTGAGGGGGAAAGGGGTGAAGGGGCTGACCTTTGAGTCGACTCAAAAAGGAAAGGCAGGGCCACAATCGCCTGCCTGCCTAGACCGACCCTGTGGTTCATCTCAACGCCAGCTGCGACAGCCAGATGAAGCTTGAGGCGCGTGCGGCCACGTGCGTGTGAGGGGAAGGGGAAGGGGGGAAGGGGGGGAAGGGGAAAGGGGATGGGAAACGTTGAAGGGAAGGGGAACGGGACGGGGAAGGCACAGGGGGAAGGGGAAAGGGAGGAGGGGAGGGTGCAGGGAATGTGGGGTGGGCGCATGGCTCCTGAAGGTCGCCAGTGAGAGGGTTATGAGGCCTGGGCGGGCTGATGATTTAAGGTTGTGTTTTTGAGACGTCTCAAAAAATACTCTTTTTACACGTGGCCAGTGAGAGGGTTATGAGGCCTGGGCGGGCTGATGATTTAAGGTTGTGGCGAGGTGAAGGGGGTGAGGAGGTGAAGGGGGTGATGAGGTGAAGGGGGTGAGGAGGTGTGTGAGATGTGGAAGGGGTGAGAAGGTGTGAAGAGTGCAGGGAATGTGGGGTAAGGAGCGGGAGAGAGGGGTGAGATGGTTATGAGGCCTGGGCTGGCTAATGATTCAGGGTTGTGGGGAGGTGAAGGGAGTTAGGTGTGTGTGGGACCCACGTGTCAGGAGGGCATACATTCGCGTCCTCTCTTCCCTCGTACCTCGTCCCTTCACTCCCTCTTCCCGCTTCTCCCGCTCCTTACCTCTGCCACTCACTCTCCATGCTCCTATTTGCTTCCCAACCTCAAAGCCCCACCTAGCCCCCCACCCCACCCTCCACCGCCCCAGGCTATGGGGCGATGCGTACGCGAGGGCCCCGAATGTGGTGGATTACACTCATTCGGGGAGCAGCCGCACGTTGACACCCAACATCGATGGTGCGACTCTTGAGGCGCCTTAAAGGCCCCAACCCCGTCCCCCGCTCCCGCCCCCCACTTCCCCAGGCTATGGGGCGATGCGTTCGCGAGGGCCCCGAATGTGGTGGAGTATATGGGGGAGCAGCCGCCTGCTGAGACCAATCACCCCGTGGTGCGTTCGTGTGTGCGCTCGCTTTCTCATGGGAGTGGTTGTACAAATGAATCCGCATGGTACACAGTGACTTGCGAGTCGACTCAGTACTCACCCGAATGTGGTGGAGGGAGTATATGGGGGAGCAGCCGCCTGCTGAGACCAATCACCCCGTGGTGCGTGCGTGTGTGCGCTCGCTTTCTCATGGGAGTGGTTGTACAAATGAATCCGCATGGTACACAGTGACTTGCGAGTCGACTCAGTACTCACCCGAATGTGGTGGAGGGAGTATATGGGGGAGCAGCCGCCTGCTGAGACCAATCACCCCGTGGTGCGTGCAAATGCGCTCACTTGTGGGTTTGGTGTTTTGGGTCGACTCAAAACATGGGGGAGTAACCGCAAGCTGACGACAAACACCCGATGGTGCGTGCGTGTGTGTGCGCTTGCTTGCGTTTCTTGAGACGTCTCAAAACTCCCCCTACCCCTCACCTCTCGCCTACATCCCCCCTACCCCTCACCTCCTCTCTTGGCAGATGGTGAACTGGTGGCGACCCCAGTCGACCCCAGTCGACCCCAGTCAACCCCAGTCCACCCCAGTCCACCCCAGTCCACCCCAGTCGACCCCAGTCGACCCCAGTCGACCCCAGTCAACCCCAGTCCACCCCAGTCCACCCCAGTCCACCCCAGTCAACCCCAGTCCACCCCAGTCAACCCCAGTCCACCCCAGTCAACCCCAGTCCACCCCAGTCACCTCCACTCCTCGTCTTACCCCTCCCCTGCATGCCCCCACACCTTGCAGGTGCACTGGTGGCGATCCCAGTTGGCGCGCTTCATAACGCGCTGGTTGGCGGTGACGCGCTGGTTGGCGGTGTGGCGCCCACACCGCGTCTCACCTCTCGCGCTACCCCCTCCCCTCCTCTCCCTCTCCCTCTCTCCCTTCCCTCCCGCTCTCCCTCCTCTCAATTCCTCCCCCTACCCCTCCCCTCCTCGCCTGGCTGTCAGGTGCACTGGTGGCGATCCCAGTCAACGCGCTTCATGCTGCGCTGGCCCTCACTTCACACGTGCCACGCCACCAACAAGGAGCGCCACACCGCCTACGGCCTCCACACCACGTCTCACTCCTCCCCCTACCCCTCCCCTCCTCGCCTATCAGGTGCACTGGTGGCGATCCCAGTCAACACGCTTCATGCTGCGCTGGCCCTCCCCTCACACGTGCCACCAAATCAACAAGGAGCGCCACACCGCCTACGGCCTCCTCACCGCATCCCACCTCTCGCGCTACACCGAAACCCAGACCGAGATCCTCCGGGCCGTCGCAGGCAATACATCCGAGTCACCCGAATCCAAGAAACTTTCCGAGATTTCCGCGGGCCCTCCGGGACCCATTGAATCGCAAGTCTGGACCGTCCGGGGGTTCGCGGGGTGTAAAGAGACCTGCATGAGTGCTGCAGATGCCAAGGCGATAAAGGAGACGTACGCATCGTTGGGAGGGGAGCCGTTTGTGATGCGGCCGATCGTGAGTGTGCACGTGCGGCAGAGCGACAAAGGGACTGAGATGCGCCTGTCGCCGCTCGCCACGCACATGTTCTTTGTGCATCGGCTGCGCCGCCACGTGCCGGACCTGCGACACGTGTGGCTCAACACCGAGATGGAGGTGCGTTGTGAGTGGACTCCAAGGCTTGCACGTGCGGCAGAGTGACAAGGGCACAGTGATGCGCCTGTCGTCGCTCGCCACGCACATGTTCTTTGTGCACCGAGGTGTATTTTGAAGCGCCTCAAAATACACCTCAATGTCGCCGCTTGCCACACTCATGCTCTTTGTGCACCGGCTGCGGCGCCACGTGCCGGACCTGCGACACGTGTGGCTCAATACGGAAATGGAGGTGCGTGCGTGGGGCAATGGATGCTTTGAGAGGTGCGTGGAGATGTGTCTGTCGCCGCTCGCGACGCACATGTTCTTTGTGCACCGGCTGCGGCGCCACGTGCCGGACCTGCGATACGTGGGGCTCAATACAGAGATGGAGGTGTGTGGGGCAACGAATGCTTGCCTTGCCCATGCCTTCTACTCCTCCACCTCTTTATCGCTTGCCAATGGCGTTGCTTGTCTTCCCTAACTCACCACGATCCGCCTCTCTGCCTGCTTTTCCTCCAGCGTAAACCTTCCTTCCTTCCTTCCTTCTCTCCCACCACCCACCTCTCAGTCCGTGGTCAGGGAATCTGCCTTGTACCTCGAATGGAAGTTCCTCCACTCCTCCAACTCGCTTGTTTTTGAGTCGACTAACAGGCCTTCCTTCCTTCCTTCCTTCTCTCCCACCCGCCCTACAGTCCGTGATTAGAGAATCAGCCTTGTACCTCGAATGGAAGTTCCTCTACTCCTCCAACTCGCGCCAGCCCGTGGACTCCAGGTCAAGCCGCAAGTATGAGATGTCTCAAAACTCTCAAACCATTCTTCCGTCCTTCCTTCTCTCCCACCCGCCATCCAGTCTGTGATTAAGGAATCAGCCTTGTACGCGGACTGGAAGTTCCTTTACTCATCCAACTCGCGCCAGCCCGTGGACTCCAGGTCGAGCCGAGAATACGAGCTCAAGCAGTCAGTCGCAGCGAGTTTCGCAAGCGTTATCATCGCGTCGCAGTGCGACTACTTTGTGGGTGCGCTCGGGTCTAACTGGAGCCGACTAATAAACGAACTGCGGTCAACGAACGGGAGGTTGCTCAGCGGATTTTATACAGTCAACATGGGGGACTGGTAGCTGCACTCTCTTCTACTGTTGCAGCCTTTTGAAGCACCTCAATCAAAAGCCGCTGTTATCGCATCTCAGTGCGACTACTTTGTGGGTGCGCTCGGGTCTAACTGGAGCAGATTGATTAAGGAGCTGCGCTCGACGAATGGGAGGTTGCTCAGCGGCTTTTATATAGTCAACATGGGTGACTGGTATCCGCACCCTGATAACTACTTTGCAGCTGATAAGTCAATTTTTGAGTCGACTAAAAAATCTACTGTTGCAGCTGCACACCCGCTCGTGGCAACCATTCAGGAGGGGACATGGGCATGAGTGTGCACAGCCAGGAAAGGTAATTCAGGCCGTGTGACCACACGTAGTTCATGCACACCCTCCCTCTAGTGTGACTACGCATACTTCTTTTGAGGCGCCTCAAAAATCGCCTCAGGCCGTGTGACCACGCATAGTTCCTCGCACCGATACTATTTCAGACCATAGCTTACAACAGTCAAGGGTTTAGGGCCACTCATCGCGTTTCCGGCTTTCCCGTTTCCGTCTTTCGTGTTTCCTCCATTCCTCAATCTCTCTATTCCTGGCTTCCTTCCACCACGTCATCCTAGCCTTCCCCTTGCCTTCGTTCTTGCTTTCGCAACACGTCACTTGCCATTTCCTCCGAAAGTGCATGCTATCTAATGCTCGTTCTCCCTCCATCATTTCTTACTGTTCTATCATCCTCATCCCCTCCCTCTCGCCCTTCCTCATTTTCTCCCGTCCGCCCTTCCTCATCACCCGTTCCCTGTTCCTTATGTTACTCCTGTTCTCCCTTCCATCATTTCCTCCCGTTTATTGCAGCAGCAACACTCCCTACTGCCACACCATCAGCACAAGCCCAAGCAGGGAATGGTCACTCCCAGCAGCCACACATGTGGCATGGTGTCATGTGTATGTTTTTTGAGAAATCTCAAAAAACATACAAGGCACACATCTGGCAGGTTGTCATGCACTCTTGCTGCTTACGTAATATATGATTTGTGCAATACGATACTGTTAATCTAGTCATGCCATGCTTGCTAATTTAACATTCTGGTAAAGCTGGCAACACTCCCATAGGGCAAATGCTTGCTAGCTTCTGGGCACATAGCATGATATACGAGTCATGCACTCTTGATGCTAGGAACTTTGGTGTACTGCTGTCATAATTGCTATAGCAACACACCCTACCAGTCACATCTTCAGCACGTTGCCAGCGGGGTCGCTGCCAGGTTTAGGTCTGGCATAGTGTAGGTAGGAGTCGTGCACTCTGCATGCTAGTGACTGACTGGGTTACTAGGAAGAGTTGTTGGGTGTGCGCTTGTCATATTCGCTGCAGCCACGCACACCCTACTATTCACTCCGTACAGTCACATCTTCAGTATGAGCCCCAGGGGGCAGTGGTCGCTGCCAGGCACATCTGGCATGGTGTATGAGTCGTGCACTCTTGATGCTAGCGACTGCGACACAAGAAAGTAATCCAGGCGCCAACCTGGTGAGATGCCAAGGGTTGGGAAGAGAGGGGCGAACAAGGGAAATGAGATATCAGCATCTCATGGTGTATGAGTCGTGCACTCTTGATGCTAGCGACTGCGACACAAGAAATTAATCCAGGCGCCAACCTGGTGAGATGCCAAGGGTTGGGAAGAGAGGGGCGAACAAGGGAAATGAGATATCAGCATAGTCGTGCACATTTGATGCTAGTAACTGGGACACCAGAAAGTAATCCAAACGCCATCCTGGTGAAAGGCGCAGAGGTAAGTGGGTTGGGGAATAGAGGGGCCAAAAAAAGAAATCACAAATCAGCGTCTCAAGGTGTATGTATGAGTCGTGCATAGTTGGTGCTAGCGACTGGGACACAAGAAAATAGTCTCGGTCACCATCCGGTTTTGAGTCGCCTCAAAAGTAGTCCAGGTCACTACCATCCAGTCAAAACGTATTTCCCGAACCAGTGTGCGTGCAAGCGAGTATGTAAGTGCATGAGAGCGTGGGTGTGAGCCTGAGTGAGAGAGTGTGACTGATTGCCACGTACCTCTGTTAGCAGGTCTTGCTTTCGACCGGTACCCCCAGTAGGTATACGTCACTGCATTGGGATGCTGACTGCGAAACGTATCCACCAAACCACGTTCCTTGCCTCTTCCCCCCTCATCTCCACCCTCCCCTTTCACCTCCTCTTCCCCCTTCTTCCCTCCACTTCCATTCTCACCCTTCTCTCCTCCCTCTCCTCCCTCTCCCCCTTTCCCCTCCTCTCCCCCCTCTTCCCCTTCCCAGGGCACGCCCAGCAGGTTAGCTGCAAACGACGCCCGCTCCTCATCGGTAAACCCCGAGCTCCTGCGGTTGCCCTCGGGGTGGAAAATGTCGATCTCCCCAAACGCACAGTTCAGGTCACCAGTCACAACCACCGGCTTCTGCTTCTCCAGTTCCTGGAATGGAGGGATTCGAAATCGTGAGGGGGAGACAGAGGAGAGGAGAGAGAGTGAGCTCCGTGGGTTGCCCTCAGGGTGGAAAGATGTCAATCTCCCCGAACGCACAGTTGAGGTCTCCGGTGACAATCACCGGCTTCTGGTGCTCCAGCTCCTGGAATGGCACATCACAACAGAGGGAGAAACATAGACGGAGTGAGGGAAGGGGCTGGTTGGAAGGGAGTGAATCCCGAGCTCCTCCAATTGCCCTCGGGGTGAAAGACGTCAATCTCCCCGAACGCACAGTTCAGGTCACCCGTCACAACCACTGGCTTCTGCTTCTCCAGTTCCTGTTGTTATGCCAGTCGACCATTCGAGGAAGAGAGGAGAGGGAGAGGGAGTGAGTGGATGGAGTGGTGGGAGGGCAGAGGAGAGGAGACCGAGCTTCTTCGGTTGCCCTCGAGGTGAAAGAGGTTTCTCTCCCCAAACGCACAGTTGAGATCACCCGCGACAATCACTGGGTTCTGCTCCTCCAGATAGGCGTTTGCGAATTCTCAGCTTGCTGTGACTTGATGTAACTTTGAAAATCCTTAACTTCGAGAATCCTCAGATTTCCTGAACCCCACCTTGACGTAGCCTTTGAGAATTCTCAGATGGCCTGAGGTGAACCTGCCTTGACGTAGCTGCCAAACGCGACGTCCCATTCCTTGGTGCGGTAGTCCTGCAGATGAATGCACACCAATGGCTCTCTGGGAAATGCACTAACCTTACCCCTCCCACGGATGCACTAACTATGTATGTACCTTGACGTAGCTGCCGAATGTGACGTCCCATTCCTTGGTGCGGTAGTCCTGCACACACGAGACAAGGCACAATGGGTGGAACACGCATTGGGGACCAGCAAAGGTACTTCTGGAAATCGTCCAAATTGACAGCCCTGCCAAATTCAGATCCTCCAGCTATGTCGCACTGCCACATGCGACTTTTGAGTCGACTCAAATGCCACATGCGCGTCGTCCCACTCCTTGGTGCGACAGTCCTGCAGAGACACGACGAGACAGAGTGGGAGGGACACGCATTGGGGAACCGTGAGTGCTTGGGTGAATGTAGAAAACGCGACGTCCCATGTCTTTGCGCGATAGCCGTGAGGACACAAGGTACAGCGGGACACTCATGTGAAGTGAGGGTGTTTTTGAGACGTCTCAAAAACACCCTCACTTCCCGTGAGGACACAAGGCACAGCGGGACGGACACTCATTGTGATGAGGCGATTTTTGAGTCGACTCAAAAATCGCCTCAAGGCACAGCGGGACAGTCATTGTGCGAACAGCAAAGCACATTGGGACGAGGATGGGACGAGGAAGCAAAGGGGAGAAAATAACAAGCTTGACTTGGTGTGACTAGCTTGACTCGCATTAACTCGTCTTGACCACCCACCAGCTGGACTAGCTTCTCAGATGAGTTGGGAGTGTAGCAACAGACGAGGAAGAATGGGGCTAGTTAGCTTAACTGGCCTTGACTAGCATTGACTAGCGTTGACTTGCATTGACTTCCCTTGGCTACCCACCAGTCTGACAAGCTTCTCAGAAGAGTTGGGAGTGTAGCAGCAGACGAGGAAGAAGGGGGCGAATCCTAATAGCTTGATTAGCCTTGACTGACGTTGACTTGCATTGACTTCCCTTGGCTACCCACCAGTCTGACTAGCTTCTCGGACGAGTTGGGGGTGTAGCAGCAGACGAGGAAGAAGGGGGCGAATTCCACAGTCACCACGCGCCCCTCCTTGTCGTGCTCTGGCTTGTTGATGCCATAGCGCACTGAGAGAGGAGGCACCTGAAAAGTGGGGGAGATTGGCACATGTACAAAACGATTGATTCGACCGTGACAAGACTCAACAGTCACCACCCGCCCCTCCTTGTCGTGCTCTGGCTTGCCAATGCCGTAGCGCACTGAGAGGGGGGACACCTGAACAGGAGATGGGAGAGAGCGGCACATATGAGATAGTAGTCAGTTACCATTGTCAGTAAATTCCACCCTCACCACCCGCCCCTCCTTGTCGTGCTCTGGCCTGTCCATGCCGTAGCGCACTGAGAGAGGAGGCACCTGAAAGGGAAAGACAGTGAAATCAACAGTGACTGTCTTATATCCCACCGTCACCACGCGCCCCTCCTTGTCGTGCTCTGGCTTGTCCATGCCGTAGCGCACTGAGAGAGGGCGCACCTGAAAAAGAGGGAGTGAAGCACATATGTAGAACAATTCACTCAACAGTGGGTGGCACTAACTCAACCGTCACCATGCGCCCCTCCATGTCGTGCTCTGGCCTGTCGTGCGAGAATACCGCTTGCCTTAGACAGCACTGCCATGCTCTCCACTGCTGCAGCTCCAAAGGGAGTGCGGAAAGGAGGGAGATAAAGCGCCTTTGCAATCTCCCGGACGCCCGTCTGCCTGCCCTTCCATACAGCAACACACAAGTCCCACTGACTCGCCTTGGACAGCACTGCCGTGCCGGAGTATCCAAGCTTGGCCGTGCTGCAGCTCCAAAACGTGTGTGGAAACGTGTGTGCAAACGTGTGTGGAAACGTGTGTGGAAACGTGTGTGGAAACGTGTGTGGAAACGTGTGTGGAAACGTGTGTGGAAACGTGTGTGGAAACGTGTGTGGAAACGTGTGTGGAAACGTGTGTGGAAACGTGTGTGGAAACGTGTGTGGAAACGTGTGTGGAAACGTGTGTGGAAACGTGTGTGCAAACGTGTGTGAACGTGGAAACGTGTGTGCAAACGTGTGTGCAAACGTGTGTGGAAACGTGTGTGCAAACGTGTGTGGAAACGTGTGTGGAAACGTGTGTGGAAACGTGTGTGCAAACGTGTGTGCAAACGTGTGTGGAAACGTGTGTGGAAACGTGTGTGGAAACGTGTGTGGAAACGTGTGTGGAAACGTGTGTGGAAACGTGTGTGGAAACGTGTGTGCAAACGTGTGTGGAAACGTGTGTGGAAACGTGTGTGGAAACGTGTGTGGAAACGTGGGAGACAGAGCCTTCTGAACCTTCCCCTCGTCCTTCTCCTGCAGCTTCGACTCCTGCCGTCTGCCTGCCCTTCCATACAGCAACACACAAGTTCCACCCACTCACCTTAGACAGCACTGCCGTGCCAGAATATCCCAGCTTAGCCGTGCTGCAGCTCCAGAACGAGTGCGGGAAGGATGGAGACAGAGCCTTCTGAACCTCCCCCACGCCCTTAGACAGAAGGAGAGCAAATAAGGTACCACTCACCTTAGACAGAACAGCTGTGCCAGAATATCCGAGCTTGGCCGTGCTGCAGCTCCAGAACGAGTGCGGGAAGGAAGGAGACAGAGCCTTCTGAATCTCCCCCACGTCTTTCTCCTGCAGCTTCGTCTCCTGCAGGCACACCACGTCAGCACGCTCCCTCTCGGCCAATCGACACAGCACGGTCGCCTCAGCCGCCACGTCAGCAGACACGTCAGCCGCCACGTCAGCAGCCATGGTCACCTCCTGATCCTGCGACTCGCCAGCTGGATCCTGCGATTCCCCCTCCTCCCCTCCGCCCGCCTTCCCCTTTGCTGCTCCCCTTCCCCCTTTCTTCTTCCCCTTCCCCTTCTCTGTACTCTTCCCCCCACTCCCCTCCCCTTCCCCCTCCCCCTCTCCACCTTTAAGCAACGCTCTCAACCCATTCACATTCCAAGACACAAGGCGCCATACCTTCTTTTCTCCTCCTCCCTTCTCCCCTCCCTCCTCCCCTCCCGCCCCTGCCAGCTCACTCCCCCCCCCATCCACGTCAGCTTTCCTCATCGTCTTGGGATCATACGGGAACCAATCAGGTTGCAGCTTTCGGTGAACCAGAACCTTCCAAGGCTCCTGACTAGCTTCGGCATCTGCCTCCATTCGTTTAGCAATCTCCATCTGCTCTTTTTTCGTCAGCTGCCCGGGTTTTTTCTTCCCGGCTTTTTGCGGCCCGGCCTTACCCCGGCCTTTTTTCACCTGGCCTTCGGGAACGGTTTCTTTTCCCTCCCTGCCCTCCTCTTTTTCTTCCTGTGACTCCAACGGCTGTGATTCTGGTTGCGACTCTGGCTCTTGTGACTCCACGTGTCCTGATTCTACTGGCTTGATCCCCTTAGCCTGCTGACCACGTGGGCCTGCGGGTCTTCCCCTCTTTCCCCCTTTCGTCTTCCCCTTCTCCTCTTCCTCCGCTTCCTCTTCTTCCTCCGCTTCCTCCTCCTCCTCCTCCTCTTCTTCTTCGCTCAGCTCTGCGGCTTTCCCTCTTTTCCCGTTTTCCCCTGCTACCGCTCCCCCTCTTCCCAGAGACCGCGCCCTTCCCCCCGTCCAACCTCCCCCAACCGCGCCCTTCCCCGCTTCCCCCTTCCCGCTCCCGCTGGGTACCTCTCTCGCGCGCTTGACCCCCGCGCGCTCTTTCCCCGCGCCTTCTCCCTGCGCTATTTTTCCGCCAGTCGCAGCGCCAATCTCGGCGTCGCCAGAACGAGCGGCCGCGGCGGAAGCTGCTGCTGCTGCCCGCGTGGAGCGGCGCAGAGCGGTGCTGTGCGGTGCCTCGGAGTTTGTACGCGGAGCGGCGGGTTTACGGTCGCCACCAGCCATTGTTGTAACAGTCCCTAATGATCGAGTCCTCGACACAGTCACAAATGCGGGGACTACTATTCTCGGAAGAACAACGGATATAGCACAACACGAATGGGCGTTTCTTATTAAACGCTTGCAGCGTACCACTAAGGGCGTGACGATCTGATTTCGCGATGATAGACTGCCAGTAACAGTGTCGGTGGCGAACTTTGGCGAAAAGGCGACGGGAGCCGTGGATGCTGTCCGGGCGACAAATCGGATGGCTGCGATGGCCGACGGAGTGCCTAAGGAGTTTCGGATAGTAACGAGCGGCACCATTCAGACGAGTGCAGGGCAGAGCAGAAAATAGGAGGCTACGTTTCTTGTACCTCTACTCAGGACAGGACGCGTCGGCAGGACACTGGCACGATGGTGAAAATAGCCCCTGCTGAAAAAAGTCTCGCTATTATTCAGCCCCTTATCATGACTCGGCGGATTGTAAACAAGGGGCTTATAATATCGAACAGTTCAAAATGTCGCAAATTCCGCAAGAGATTGTTCGCGAATCTGCTCCGATACAAAGTGCTCTTTTCCGAAGTTCAACAAAAGCTAAATATCACGAAGGCTCTGTAAGCTATTCTCTCAAATTCGAGGATTTGAATTTCTCTCAGTTTCCCGCCAAATTCGACAGCAACCTCGATATCTCCCCTCCCTCATTTCAGGATATCACCCCCCTCTTCAGTCATGATTCTTTCAATAGTCCTCGCTCACTCTAGGTTCAGCACTACGTTAGGCTTTCCGTAGGCTTCTGTTTGTGAGTGGTGCATTGACGAGCGTCAGCGTTCTGATTATATTTTTCACTGATAAGCGAAGCTAGCTTAGTTGATAAGCGAATACTCGACGCCAGCCTGCATAGGCGAGCAGATCAGCAACGGTCGTCTGAGAGAATCGGCCGCAGTGATGAAGCGGGGAAGAGAAGACGAAGAGAGTTCGCGACATGATGAAGATGACGGGAAGAATGGGGGGAGTGGTGGAGAAGGCGAGGAGAAGAAGGAAGCAAGAAGCAGGGGAGATGAGGGTGACGGTGGTGGGGAGCCCGCGGGGGACCATGTTAAGACGGCATCGTCTCAGGCTGGGGTAGAAAGGGGGAAACGGGAGAGTGGAACAAGCGACCAAGAGAAGGTTAGGGAAAAGGAGGAGGAGAGAGAGGAGGATGAGGATGAGGAGGACTGTGTTAAGATCGAAGAAGATAATGACGAGGATGTTAAGATAGAGGAGGAGAAGGAGGAGTGTATTGATCTTTTGGACGAAGAGGAGGATGATGGCGGTGACGATAACGAGGCGGCTGAAATCGAGGATGTTTCGGAGGAGGAAGGACCAAGGAAGGTGATGAAGCTGAGCGAAGCTGCGAGGAAATCGCGGAAGCGTGACGTGGCGGAACGGGCGGGGGGCGGGGAGGAGGGTGCAGAGGACGGGAAGGGGGAGGGACTGGCGAAGAAAAAAAGAAGGAAATTGGGGAACGGGAAAGTGGGTGATATGGAGAGGAGAGAAGGGGGGAAGGGCAGCGAGGTTCCAAAAGACGGGGGCGACGGGGGTATGCATGAGGGAGACGGGAACGAGGAAAGACAGGAGGAGAAGGAGCGGAGAGAGGAGAGCAGTGATGGTAGAGAACCGAGAAGAACCGAGAAGGATGGGAAGGGGGAACGTAATCAGGTAACGGTTAGTAGAGATGGTGAAGGGGGAGGTGGAGGAGGAGGAGATGAGGAGGGGGACGACGGAGCTAGGACGCGTGGGGAGCAGGGGGGGCAGGGGGAGCAAGGGGAGCAAGGGGAGCAAGGGGAGCAAGGGGAGAAGGGGGGAAATGGAGAGAAGGGGGACCAGGACGAGGGACGGGAGGGGGAGCAACGACAGGAAGAGAAGGAAGAGAAGGAGGAGATGGGAGAGAAAAAAGGGGAGCAGACGGGGGAGCAGAAGGGGGAACAGACGGGAAGCATGGTAACCCGCAAAAAAGACATATCATACGTTCTTATTGACTTAAAGCCACGAGAGCAGACTAAGAAGACAGGGGGGAGCAGGGATAGCAAGGGGGGAAGCGCGGGGGAGAACGGTGGGGGAGGGGGAAGCGGCGGTGCGGGAACGCCTGGGAAGGAGGAGGACGGGGGGAGTGACGAGCAGACGAAAAAAGTAGGGGCGGGTGGGGAGGCTGATGGGGCAGGTGAAAAAGCAGCTGTGGGGGGGGCAGCGCGGACGGCAGAAGGGGGGAAGAAGCGGAAAGGCCTCCCCCCACGCTCTAGGAAAACGGGCAAGAAGGGGGGAGGGAGAGGGGGGGCGCATGGGGGGGCCAAGGGGGGGCTGGCTGGTGCAGGGGCAGCTGGGGGAGGGCCTATAACGGGGATGGGGGACAAGAGGAAGGAGGCGGATCTGGTGAAGGTGGTACCTGCGCCCAAGGGGTTGGAGATCGAAGATGGGCCTGATAAGCCGGTTGTCTTATCACGAGTGTTCCGGGCGGCACAGATCCAGGTAAGCAGCAAAGGCAATCGTATGGTACTGTGAGAGCCACATTTTGCGTCTGGGGCGCACAGGGCACACCCGCATAGGCTGGGCCACGCAGCGAGCCAACAGGCGCTCACCCCTCGCCTTTCCCTCATTCTTGTTACTCTCCTGTTCCCCGCATCCCCGTTTCCATCATCCTCAGTTGAGTGAGGATCGATTATCGGCGACGAGTAGCAAGGGCTATCGCATGGTTCTAGCAACAAGGGGAGTGCTGGAAGGCGCGTGGTCACTCACTTCCCCACACTCCCCTCACTCCCTCCCTCCCCTCCTTCCCTTACTCCGTCTGCAGTTGAGTGAGGACCGATTATCAGCAACGAGCAGCAAGGGTTATCGCACGGTGCTAGCAACCAGAGGGGTAATGGAGGGCGCGTGGTATTTCGAGATCCACATGCTGCATCTGGGGCAGTCAGGGCACGCCCGCATAGGCTGGGCCACACAGCGCGCCGACATGCAGACTCCAGTGGGGTTTGACACGTGGGGGTTTGGGTTCCGGGATGTGGATGGGAGCGTGGTGCATCAGGCAGTTAGGAGGGCGTATGCTGGAGGATCGCTGGATTTTCCTCCGCTGCCTCCTTCCAGTGCTACTGTCACTGCTGCTGCTTCTGCTGCGGCTGCTGCTACTGCTGCTGCTGCTACTGCTGCTGCCGCCACTGCTGCTGCGCCGGCTGCTGCTGCCGCTGCCGGTGGTGACATGGAAAATGCACCTGACAGGAAAGATCCACCTGAAAATGCATCTGCACACCCTGAAACCACTCACAACCGTTCCCAACCCCACCCTGCGGGAGACATAAGCAAGCGGGCGCCGGGGTACGTGGAGGGCGACGTGATTGGCTGCTACATCAGCCTGCCAGGTGGCGCCAGGCTGGCACCCAAGCCGCGGCCACTGGTGACGTGGAAGGGGCAACCGTGCTACGTGGAGAGCGAGGAGAGTGCAAAAGGAGGGCCCCCTGTGCCTGGTAAGCATTGCTCTTTCTTATCAGCGCATGGTAAGTGAATGGTACGTGCGTGGAAGGGGCAACCGTGCTACGTGGAGAGCGAGGAGAGTGCAAAGGGAGGGCCTCCCGTGCCTGGTAAGCGATTTTCCCTTATCAGTGTGTTGGAAGTGTCAAATGCCGGGTAAACCTGCTTAAGCAGAGGGTTGCCTCCGTTCCATTCTCTCCTGTGTTGGTGACATGGAAGGTGCAGCCGTGCTACTTGGAAAGCGAGTAAAGTGTTGTTGGGGCCCCTTCCTGTTTGAGGTTGATTTTGAGAATTCACAAAATCAACCTCAAACAAAATTGGTGACATGGAAGGTGCAGCCGTGCTACTTGGAGAGCGAGTAAAGTGTTATTGGGGCCCCTTCCTTGCCTGGTGAGCGTTTCTTTGTTTTGTGGTGTGCGTTTCTACCTTCCATTCTTTCTTGTGCCTTGGCATTGGCAGCCGTGCTGCAGTTCTCCCTTCCCGTTCTTCCCTTTTCTGTGCGTTTCTCAAGTCTAATTATTAAAGGGGCCTTAAACATTCTATGTGTTTCTGAAGCCGCGGCTGCTGATAAAGTTGATGGGGCACCCTTCTATTTCTTTAGTTTCTGCTATATTCTAGGCACCTTAAGAATTGTGTTTTTATTATTTCAACAACCACCCCTCCACAGGAAGTGAAATCGTGTTCTTTCGCAACGGGGTGAGTCTAGGCACGGCGTTTAAAGACATTCCAGCGGGCAGATACTTCCCGGCAGCTTCCCTCTTCACGCTGCCCGACCAATCAGAGGGCGCCACCGTGCGCTTCAACTTCGGGCCGAATTTCTCACACCTGCCCGCGGACTGGGGCAGCCGGCCTGTGCCTGGAGCTTTTTCGGGTGCCCCACACATTCCTGCTTCGGAATATGAAGCTGATCTTGGGGATGAGGGGGAGGGGAAGGAGAGCAAGGATGGGGAGGGTAAAGAATGGAAGGATGGGGAGGGGAAATATGTGGAGGGGAAGGAAGGTAGACAAGTAAAGGAGGAGGAGGAGGAGGAGGAGGAGGAGGAGGAGGAGGAGGAGGAGGAGGAGGAGGAGGAGGAGGAGGAGGAGGAGGAGGAGGAGGAGGAGGAGGAGGAGGAGGAGGAGGAGGAGGAGGAGGGTCGGAGCAAAGGGGGGGAAATCGTAAAGGATGAGAAAGAGGAGGATGAAGGTAAAGAGGGAGGAGAGACCAAGGATGGAAAGCTAGAGGGTGGAGAGGAGGGAGAGCGGAAGGAGGATGCGAGGAATTGTGAGATGGATGAGGAAGAGGGGAAGGAGGTGAAGAAAGAGAGGGAGGACAAAGACAAGGAAATGAAAGGTGAGGAGGATGGTGTGGGTGATAAAGAGGGGAACGCCAACGAGAAGGGTGGGTTACAAGAGGACGAGAGGGAGGGAGAAGCGGGGAGTGCACATATTACTGAGGGGGGAGAAGCGGATGGAACTAGGAATGCGGATGGAGAGGGAGGTGAAAATAATTCGTGAAAGGAAAGGAGGGAGGGTAATTGGGATCAAGATTGGAGACCTAGGAACTAGAGATGCAAGGATAGAGGAGAGGAGAGTATGGTCGTTGTGTCAAGGTTCAAGCGGCGTTTTAAGACATTTGTGGGTGTGATGTGTCGGAGGAGTAGTTGGGGGATGCAGCAGTTTCAAGACGTTTGTTGGACTAATATATCATGTTTGAGGGTGTGTACTATCAGTTTATACATGGTTTGTTTCAAGTCGTGTTCTTCTGTGGTTTCTCAACTTCCAGCCGCTGTCAGTTTTGCGGATAAATTTTACCGATGTCTATTGGCTGGGAACCGTCGCCAGCACTGTCGGTGGATGATTTTTCACGTCGGTGGAAGGCGTGTGGATGGCACATGCGGCCCAAACAAGCCCACATTCAGCTAACACCAACATTTTCGACAAGCCCAAGCTTCGTAACCATCCGCGGAACAATCACCATCCCAAGCATCGCCTAATTCACCTTTGCCCCGATTGTAGCAGATTTACGTCATACCACTTCCATACATGATGCCAGGGTTGAGCCACTCCCAGTTGCCTTGTGAAGGGGGCGCTTGAGCTGTTCTTATATTTCGCATAAGTTTCGTCAATTCGCAGCTAGCAAAAAAGGATTCGTCAGGTGCTTATAAAATAATTGTAGCTTACTCGTTGACAATTTGACTTCGGTCTTTTCGTTACTATTGGTGCAGAACCACGCGACGTGCAGCTGGCTGGGGAAAAAAACACGGGTGCAGAGTTTCCATCCGGTGCAGGGAAAATTCGCGTGCAGGGGGTGAGCATCATGTGTACCTAACCATAACTGAATGTATACATACCGTGTTGAAACGCATAGAAACCCGCTGAACCGTACAAATAGTTCTGCCTAAATTTATTTGAGGCGCTACTATTCCCGTCTTACCCCAGAAGCTAGAATTTGGTGAAAGCTTCGTCTGCTATTCCTCGCATCCGCAATACACGCTAGCCGTTGTTTGGCAGAATCGTCACCTCTTAGCTCGCAAAAGCATGGATACGTCGTCTGCCACGTGTCTTTGCTTTAGTTGCACCGCCACTTCGCGGTGCGCTCTTGGGATCTTGTCTTCGCCAATGAGTCGAGATTTTAGACTAGGGGCATTATATACAAGGCCAGATATTATCTCGCTGCGAGCGAGCCTGGGAGTTTCACTTGTGCATACTTCCTGCAAAAATGCTCTCCCATTTCGTGGGAGTCGCAGGCGTGAACTTCGGAAACACCCGGAAAGCGCAGGACAATTGCAATGAAATTCAGTCAACAGTTTTCCTTGGTGCATTTGTTCTTTGAGTAGATACTTTCCATGCGACGGTTTCATTTCTCTCCATGAAGCGGTACGTCGCCGCCTTTACTTCCCGATTATTTTCGCATCCGGCTCAGCTGTTCGTTTTCCCTTCAGAACGTCTAGGTCCCACCCAAGACTACTAAGTCTGCTCCTTACGCGCTAGTACTCCTATAGTCGACGTTCTTAACGGACAGAAGCTGGTTTGATTGCGGTTCCGGAATTTAATATTCATCCTTCGAGTTCAGGCTCCGGGGATGAAACTCACGTGAGCCGTGATGGACGATCAGGATCTCTTGATGAGCGATCGTACGGACGGGGAGAGCAGCGCTGGTGGGATGAACGGCTCAGATTCGTCGCGTTTTGCGGGGATTCCACTGCAATATTCTTCCGTTAGCGCTCGCTCGGATTGGGAAATGCCCCAATTTGGAAGCAGCAGCAGTCTAAACCTGTCTGCCCTTCCTCCTTCCTGCAATGGCTCAAGGGAAATACCCCCTTTTAAAATCTCAGGTGAAATACCCCCGTTTGGTGACTCAGGATATCATTTTTCAGGGGAAATACCCCCATTTGACGAGGCAATGCTGGAGCCGTTCCGGCTTTCTGGGGAGATTCTTGCTGACGTGGCAGCGGCGTTTGACCACGCCAGGTCAACGTTTGCATGTGTGGAGCCCACGTGTCCCTCAGATACCACCTTCACCTCTGCTGCTTCGGCCTTCCCTGCTGCTGCCGTCTCACCTGCTTCCGTCTCACCTGCTGCTGTCTCACCTGCTGCCGTCTCCCCCTCGCGTGAACGTCTGTCCTCCCTGCTACAGCCGGCCGCACCACCATCAGGTGCACCAGAGCAAGCGCATGCTACAGCCGACACACTGACTACCGCTACTGCTTCTGCTGCAGTTAAAGCTGGCCTCGCCTTCAGCCTGTCCGCCCCGCTACAGCCGGCAGCAGCGCCATCAGGTGCACCAGAACGAGCATGTGCTACAGCCGCTAGTCTGAGCATTGCTGCTGCTTCTGCTGCAGCCGGCCCTACCTGTGCGACCAGTCACCCGGCCGCTCCGCACTCCTCCCAACCGCTTCATCTTGTGAAGAGGAATGCTGAGACGTCCCCGAACCTGCTTACTCCACCAGTTGCACCCATGGAAGGGAAACTATTCGCCCCTCTCCACCCATCTACACCTCTCCTCTCATCCGCACCCCTCCCCCCATCAACACCTCTTCGCCCATCAGCACCAGCAGCAGCAGTACTATCCGCGCCCAATAGCCCAGCCGCTCGGCACTCCTCCCAACCACTTCGTCTCGCACACACACCACCTGGCAGGTTGGGACAACCCTCTCCGCCCGACCCGTGCCGCCCAGCAGCGTTTCCTCTTCTGTGTCTGCCCCAGTGTGTCCCTGTACCTCCTCTTAGCTTTGCTCTTCCCACACCATCCCCCTGTGCCGAGCCCAAACCACCTGCCCGTGCTTTCCCCATACGATCTTCCCCACCAGCAAATCTGCCTGTAGCACCAACGGTAACCCCACCTGCCAGACTGGTTGTAGCTGCAGCGCCAGTGACATCAACCAGCCCGGCTGTAGCACCAACGCCAACCACATCAGCCAGCCCGGTTGTAGCCGCGACACCATCCCTGCCTTCAAAGCTGGCTATAGCAGCAGCGACAACCCCACCAGCCAGCCCGGTTGTAGCACCAACGCCAACCCCACTAACCAGCCCAGCTGTAGCAGCTACACCACTCGCTGCTGCCACTCCCTTAGAGGCCTGCGATAGCCGAGGCATGAGCAGCAGCAGCAGCGGCAGCCACAACAGCCACAGCAGCAGCAGCAGCAGGAGCAGCATCAGCAGCGGAAGCCGCAGCAAGAGGAGGAGGGAGGGGGGAAGCGGATCTTGTGATAATCCTACCTGCGAGGAACAACATCTCTCCATGCATTCAGGGAGAATGGTAACAGCACCGCCTCTCCAGGGTCTTGAGGGGTTTACCAGGGCTGTGAGGGAGGGGGTGGGCGGAGTGGCATCAACAGCACCGCCTCTCCTGAGTCTTGAGGAGTTTACCAGGGCTGTTAGGGAACGGATTGCTATGGCGGGTGGGGGTGTGGGAGGTGGAAGGGTCGAAGGTGGGAGGGTGGGGGATGGGAGTGTGGAGGGTGGGAGTGTGAGAGGTGGGAGTGTGGGAGGGTGGAGTGTGGGGGATGGGAATGCAGGAGGAGGGAGTGTGGGAGGAAGGAGTGTGGGGGGAGGGAGTGTGGGAGGGGGGAGTGTGGGAGGAGGGAATGTGGGAGGCGTGACTACCGGTTGTGTGACTGTAATGCAGCCTGACGCTGTTGCTGCAGGCTGCGAGGTTTCTGTAGGTGGGAGGAAGGAACTGGAGGGGAGTGGGAGCAAGAGGACAGGCGTGAAAGGGATTGCGGTGAGGAGGAGACGCAATCGAATCAGATCTGAACGATCCCGCCGCAAGCGAGTGAGGTGAGTCGGGAACAGGAATAAGTAAATTACAAATGCGAACCAACAAGACCAATATCTGGCCTCTTATGAAAGGTCTAAAAAGAAAGGGGGAAAAACAACAAAAATATGTTACTTGTTGACTTCATTCTCCTCTATTTTTCTCTCTCTATCAAACTCCTTTTTGGATTCTGACTTGCCTTTTCCGCTTTCCTTTCCTTCATCTCCAGTGATGCGGTGGAAACCCTTAGGTTGTTGGTCCCGGCTCCAGTGTCGGCTCCAACTGATATGGCATTCGTGCTAGAAGCCACAGCGGCATACATCCGAGAATTGCAGGTAAGCTGCGTCTGGGAGGGTGTGTGATGTCTTATTACTGTTTGTTTCTTTTGTTTGCTCGGTTTTGTTTTCGTTTGTTGTTTTTTTTGTTTTTGTTTTTGTTTGCTGGTTTGGTTTTTGTGTGGCTAAATCAACCCCCTGTTTTCCATATGACGCATGGGTTTGTTGGTACTATAGGCCCTCACAGACACTCTCCAAAGCATGGCCTTGGTCCAGAAGACAACCAGAGACCAATAATGCGCTCACGATGGCATCATGACTCAGGGCGTTTTCCTTCACTTCAGTACGGCCTGTCAAATGATGCCACACTTGATGGATTCAGAGCTTGACATCCATTTGCTGTACCGATTTGCAGGAACACGCCCTTGGTTTCCTTTTAATCGTTTTTCGTTTTGTTTCGTGTCCTTATACAAGAAAAAAATATGTTTGTTTTCCAGGCATGGGCGTTCTTTACTGCTACTACCAGTTGGTTTATACCTGGCAGACTTTACTATAATGGAAAGTGTTAGACATGATACACAAATCCGTCCTCAAACGGATCAAGTTTTTTTCAATCTTCGTCGTAACCAATGCCGAAGTTCTGCGACGCCTGCGACCCAAGCCCACGACAGACTCAGATCTAACCCACAGCACAGCAGCTCCGTCCTATTCGCGAAACTCAGTAACATTCTCGCCGATCTTGTTTGTGGCTTCGCACAAGCCCACTTCCACCGCAAACCGTCGCTTCTGGAAGCTGGCGAGTTTCGTCTGAGCTGGAGCCCGCTCAGCACACACTCACGCCGTGCTGCCACCACCAGCCAGCCAACGAACTATCTATTCCCTGAATCTCGGTTTTCGCTTTCCTGAATCTAGCTTTTCTGCTGATCTGAAATTCCCTAGGTCACTTGCAGTTTTCATCTTCTGCTTCTGTTCCTTTCTCAGATTGCTGTCCTGATCCCTAGACTCCTTGTACCCTGATCCCTTCTGCTGTTGTAGGCTCCGCAACTTCGGGGGTTGTACTTTAGACCATTTTTGTTTTTTATCAGTCGTTAAATAAATACCTACGCTGGCACCATGGTGTCCGATGGCTCTGGTCCTGCCGCTTCTGGCCCTGCAGCTACGGCCGACTGGGCTTTCGAGGTAAGCCGTAGGAGACGACTCGCTAGCGATCAGTGTCCGGGTCTCAATTCAAGGTCAACTAAGTACGCTCCTTAAGATCCGTGCTTGAATCCAGCTTTTTCAGCGACAATACTGATCTTACCCTTCATGTGTCGTTAGTAAAGCTCCGGTGAGTGAGGTTCGACTTCTGATCCCGCTTGTTCTCTAGTATGGATCTAGTTTAGAGGATTTAATTTTAATGGTAATTTCCAGAGTTTTTCTCATTTCCAAGTCAGAAAGGCGTTTGCGTCGGATAACGACTTCAAGGCGTTTCAAGCAGCGCCGTTTCCCCTCTCGCACCTCTCGCAGGTCGGCAAGGCGTTCGCGTCGCAGTACTATACCGTGATGCACACGCAACCGCACGACGTGCACAAGTTCTACGTCGACGAGAGCAAATTCACGCGCGCCGAGCGCCTCGGCATTCCCGGGGAAACCGTGACGACCATGCAGGTGCGTCTCGCCGTGACGGAATTTGTGGAACAGGTCACGAGATCTGTTCCTCACAAGCACTTGGGTTGGAGAAGCGTTAGTAGCAGCAAGGTAATGAGAGGACTGCATCAGTGTGAAGGTACAGGAAGGAATGCTCTAGTGTACCAACCTTGAAGGAACTTGCGTTGTTGTTCTGAGAACGAGGACTTTATTTTCGGTAACTGGCAATGTGAAAAAACTGGTTACTCATATTCCTCACGCATGTGTGGGCGTGTGTGTATGGGTTTGCGGATCATATGCTTGTGTGGTTTTCATGATCTGCATGGCATGAACGGGTTGTGGTTTGGCTTGGGTGCTTTGTATGGCTTGTGTGGCCCGCATGTGGGTTTGCCTTTCCCGCACTTGCACATGGCGTGTTCAGGGTATCCACACCAAGGTGATGTCGCTGGATTCATGCGAAGTCAAGGCGGAAATCAAATCCGTGGACTGCCAGGAATCTCTCTCCGGCGGCGTTCTCGTGGTGGTAACCGGCGCGCACTGTTACAGCAGCAGCGAGCGACGCGGCTTCGTCCAGAGCTTCTTCCTCGCGCCGCAGCAGAACGGCTTCTACGTCCTTAACGACATCTTCCGGTTTCTAGAGGACGCGCCGCCGCCGCAGCCGCCCGCCGTAGTTAAACACGCCGTCGGCGGGGGTACTAAGTCGGCCGCGTCGGCCTCTGGATCAGCTGCAGCTGCTGCTGCGGGGGGTGCGTCTCAGGCAGGTTTGTCGAACGGGCACGCGGCGGATCAAGCAGCGGGATCCCGGGAGGTTACATCTGTGGATCATGCGGTGCGAGATGTAACGGTCGATGAGGCGTCCCAGGCGTCCGCGCCTGCCGCCGCGCCCAGCGCCGCAGCCGGCGGAGCCGAGGCTCCCCCGGCCGCGGACGACGGCGCTGCGGTGGAGGAGGTGCAGGTGATTCGGGAAGTGCCTGAGTCGGTCGTTTCCGTGGATCAGGGCCAAGGGCAGGGTCAAGGGGCGGGAGTGGGAGCCGCCGCAGCAGCGGCGGAAGGGGAGAAGGCGGAAGCGTCTGTTGCGCCTTCCGCCCCAGTTTCCGCGCCTGCTGTCCTTCCGAGTCCTGCGGGCGGGGAAGCGGCTGCGGGAGCCACACCTGCGTCAGCTGTAGCACCAGCTATAGCAGCTGCACCCGCAGCAGCAGCAGCAGCAGCAGCAGCACCGCCTGCAGCAGCGGTAGCGCCTGTAGCAACTGTAGCTCCAGCGGCGGCGGCAGCACCAGCTGCAGCGGCGGCACCTGCTACTGCGTCTGCGTCAGATGAACCGGCCCCTAAGAAGTCTTACGCCTCTATTGTGAGTGATCATGCTGGTGTTGAAACATCAAAACTCCAGTACGTCTCTAACATGAGTGATCATGCTGGTTGGGTTTGTCACAGACCCCACATCACATTTCAGTTGCACAATGCTAGACTCGCCGTGATTCGTGGAGTTATTCCCCGTCACAATAACTCCCATCCTCACTGGAAGCAAGCCTGTTATGAATTTGACAATGAGGGTGTTGCTAAACCCATTCTAACCCCCTTCCTCGTATCTCAACCTAGCCCACGTGCCAACCCGCCCAACCCGTACCTTTCTTGAGCCTCGCTTCCCCGCCCCACACACCCCTCCGCCATCCCACCCCACAGCTGCAAGCCATGCGCGCGCAATCCGCAGCTGCATCACCCGCGGGCGCCTCCGCGGGCGCAGCTTCCGCGCCTCTCTCCGCCACTCCCCCCGCAGCTGCGCCTCTGGGGGCGGTTGCGCCCAGGCAGCCGCCGCTTCTCCCTGCCGCAGCAGTTGGGGGTGCTGGGGCGTTTGGGGGGCAAGAGGCAGCACCTTCTGGGGCAGCAGCTGGGTTCTCTGCTGGTTTGCTTGCCCCTGCTCCTGGGTTCGCTGCCGCTGGTGGTGCTGCTGGGGCTGGAGAGGATACCAATGCTGCTGACGAAGGTAGGAACGATGATTATTGCGATGGCCATAGGGCAGGGCGGGGGAGGGTTCTTGCTTGCTGCAGGGGAGGGCCCTGTTGTGTTTGTGCGCATGACTGCCAAGGAGATGCCGAAGTTTTCTAGCAAAACACTGCATCCCCTGTGTGCCCCCCGTGTGCCCCACAGCTGCAGGGGAGGGCCGCGCTGTGTTTGTGCGCAACCCGCCAGTGCACATGAATCAGTGCCAAAGAGATCGCAGAGCACTTGAAACTCAACCCATCCTTTCCTTCCCTTCCCCTGCATGTGCCATGCGTGTGCCTCTGCTCCGTGTGCCCTTTGTTCCTCACAGCTGCAGGGGAGGGCCGCGCTGTGTTTGTGCGCAACCTGCCAGTGCGCATCACTGCCAAGGAGATAGCAGAGCACTTCAACCAGTTCGGAGCAGTGAAAGCCGACCGCATCCAGATCCGGGGCAACAAGGTACAGGGTTGTTGCCTGATTGGGAAAAAAGGGGCACATTGGACATGGACAGGCAAGATCCTCTCAGGCCAGTTTTGAGACGTCTCAAAGCACGTCTCAAAATTTGTGACGTCTCAAAATCTGTGACGTCTCAAAACACGGTATGGGGTTGTTGCCTGATCGGGGAAAAGGTAAGATCCTCTCAGTGCCCCTTGGCTCTTGGACAGGCCATTCCAATCCTAACTGGCTCAAGTGCTCTGCAATCTCCTTGGCCTTGGCAGTTAAGGTTAAAATCCTCCTGTGCTGCCAATCTCTCTGTACCCTTTCTCCTTCAGGCCAACAACCCCGCTACAGTGTACGCGTTTGTGGAGTTTGAGGAAGCTGCAGCAGCACTAGCGGCAGTAGAGGTTAGCAAACGGGCTCTTGGGTTTGTGGCTGAAGAGGTGTTGGTTGATGGATCGTGTTCCGTGCCTCTAACGTCTATGTATAGACGACTCACTAAAAGGCTGTAGATGAGAGTGGAAGAGGCGTTTTGGGTTAAGGGCATCAGGCTTGAGCATATGATAGGGTGTTTGACTGTTATTGGGCGGTGTTTGTCGTGCGTACTTTCTGTTGAGGCTTTGTGCGCTGTGGATCCGCTCTCTGCTCTGCTTGCTTCTTTCCATTGAGGTCGTTTTTGAGGCGCCTCAAAAACGACCTCAATGTTGAGGCTTCGTGCGCTGTGGATCCGCTCTCTGCTCTGCTTGCTTCTGTCCATTCTTGGTTGAAACTTCTTTGCTTAAACCCTTTACGGTGTGTGTTGTTTTGGAGATCTCAAGTCTTGAAAGAGAGAACTTAACTGCTTAACCCGTCTTGTGTTTGCCCACGCACAGAAACAAACCATCATGGTGGGGAATTTCCAAGTTAAGATCGAGGAGAAGAAGGCGACTAGTACGGGCCGAGGTGAGCTTTCTGGGCTTTTAAGAAAAGGGGTGGAAGGGGGGGGGGGGGGGGAGAAGGGATATCTAAATAAAAAGTTGGTGGGTCGTTTGGTTGTCCATGGTTAGAAACAAATGATCATGGTGGGAAATTGTGAAGAGTGGGGAGACTAAGGTGACACGCACGGGCCAAGGCGAGTTCTGGGATGCGGTGGCGGCGCTGTCGGTGGTGCTGCTGGTGCTGGTGGCACCAGTAGTGCTGTTGTTGGTGGTGTCGGTGCTGGCAACTCCAGGACTACTTCAGGAACCTAGAACTTTCATTTTCATTTCCTTCTTCTTTTCTCTCTCCCCCCACCCCCTCCCCTCCCAGGCTCATATCGTCGTACGGGAGGCGGTCGGGGCGGCTCGGATCGCCAATTCCGCGACGGCAGCAGCAACTTCACCGGTGCTGCTGCTGGTGGCGCTGGTGTTGGTGGTGCTGGCGTTGGTGGTTCTGCAGGTGCTGCTGGTGCCGGTGCCGTTGCTGGTGGGATTGTTGGAGTTGTGAGCAACAGGGGCGGGCGTGGGGGGTCAGGGTTCGGTTCTCGCGGTCAGCAGCAGCAGGTGCAGGGGCAGGGACAATGGCAAGGGCAGGGACAGGCAATGCAGCAGGGACAGGGGTTGACTGGGCAGGCCATTCAGGGGCAAGGATTTCAGCAGAATCAGGGGTTACAGGGGATGCAGGGGTTTCAGCAGGGGCAAGGGGGAGGTGATGGGGTGAGTGGGGCCGGGCAGGGGGGATGGTCGTCAAGCGGTGGTGGAAGGGGGAGAAGAGGGGGACAGGGACGGACAGGAGGGAGTAGAGGAGGGGGGCAAGGAGGAGGGGTTGCAGTGGTGGCTCCATCATAAGGGCTTGCCTGGGTTGTCGTAAGTGACTGACTGCAGTGGCTGAAGTGGTGCATTTCATTGTCATGGGCTACATGCTAGGTCATTTCTTCATCATTGCATTTTCGTTGTCATCATTGCATTTCCATCGTCATCATTGCAGCTTGGGTTTGTGTGACATGGCATTGGTTTCACCTTCATTGGTTTCTATTGTCTGAAAGTCTGTAGGGGAAGTGTGGTAGAGAGAGGCCGTCAGCATGTTGATGACAAATATGGCTCACAGGTAATCGTGAGCTGGACTCTCGGTTCGTGTTGTGCTGCGTGTGTCATCGAGCTGGCCAGTGCATTGTCTTGCTGTGACAAATAGTGCAACAAGGATGACGTAGGGCATAAAGATTTGGGGATGTGACACATAGTGGCTCAATGTGACACTTTCCAACCGAGGACTGAAAGACTGTCCCGTCCTAGATTAGTGTCTAAGATGAATAATTCATACAGTGTAGCTCCTGCTGGCAGCTGTGGCTCCCTTCGTATATTTGGAAAGAGAAACGGTCAAGCATTTGCTTCGCGAAGCGCAGAGATTCGCCAACCAGCAGCTAACCAGAATGCGGCATTTGCAGCCTCTCGCGAGGCAAGCGGCTGGAGGCTTTCGTGACTCAGTAACAACATCAGAGGTCGCACAACGACGAACGCCACCTTGAGTTCAAAACTCCACCGTCCAGTCTGGTATGATACGAGTCAGCTGAAAGGAGAGTCAGAGCAGGAGAAACTACTGTAGCCAGTCATGGATGGAGCGAGCGCGGGTTTCATCAAAAGCCACTTTCGTTCACCCAGCTGCTCCTTCTTTTCCTAGTCTTTGCCGACTGTTTTTGTGGTCTAAAGAATAGAGATGTCTCGCACACAGATCAAAGATTTATCTGACGAACTTCTAGTGAAGATCTTCTGGCAGAGCGATCAGCCAATTCGTTACCAACCTAACATTGACGCTGTGTGGACTTGCTGTGGTACTAGGCCGAGATACCTCCATTCAAAACGCGAAACGCTGAGACCCAACGAGGGTCCTCTACCGGCCCTTCCTGTCTCCGCAAACCCCGCCTTTAGTCTGCTCATCGCTTCAGTCTGCCGTCGCTGGCGCCGTCTCGCTCGGCGCTACGTCTCCACACTTGTTGTCAAAGGCAGCCTTAAAGACGACCTTTTAGTGTCCCGCGTGGAGATTATGACCGCTATCACTTGCTTCCCGAACCTAACTCATCTTGAAGTCAGCAATGTCTTCTTAGGAACGATAAACGACGAGTTCTTATATCACCTCGCCTCGTCATGTCCTAAGTTGAGAATTCTTGGCTTATCCAGCGACTCGGAAGAACTGTACGCGGGTGGTGATAGGGAGGATGTTCAGCCTCTAGCTACATCTTCTCTGGATGCTTTATTTCGGCGGTGCACTCAACTGGAACAGCTTAATCTCTCCTGTGTCCATGACGAGACGGTCCTGCCAGCATCGTTTTTTCAACTAAGCCGTCTTCACACTCTTGCTATTTTCCAGAGTGACTCGTTATGTAGACGCCAGGAACTTGTGGAGTTATCTTCACTGACCGTTCTGGACATTTCCGTTACAGGAATGGCTTTTCAGGAGCTCGTCAACCTCACTGCCTTAAGTGGATTAACTAGCCTTTCACTTCCGGATGCATTCTGCTATCGTAACGATTCTACCGATTATTCGTTTTCCATCGCACAGTTTCCTTTCCTGAAATCACTGAAATTCTTGGATAGCTGTCCTCGATTCGACCGACTGTTTCCTTCCGGCTCGCCATGCACCACTCTCGAAGAGCTATGGATCACCAACTGTGGGGAACTCGAGCGTTTTCCTAACGACGTTGCCACGCTGTTGCCATCTCTTCGCATTCTAAGTCTGGATCAATACTCTATCCATGCGCAGCTGCCTGAAGAGCTTGAGCTTCTCTCCTTAACCCGTCTCGAACTTCTAAAGATTTCCAGCTGTAAAGGGTTATTCAGCCTGCCCGAAGACTTCGGATGCCTGACTGCCCTAAAGACATTGGTTCTGGAGCACCTTCCACTCGCGGATCTCCCTCAATCCCTGTGTCGTCTCTCGTCACTGGAAACGCTGTTTCTGATCCGTTGCCCGGAGATTCGCGAATTGCCGATGGGATTCTGCTGCCTGACAGCTGTCAAGACGCTGTGGCTCGTGGAGTTGCCTCAGATCATGCTTCCAGCGGGTATCGGAGGGTTCAAACAGCTGCAGACTTTTTACCTGAATGACAATCAGACGCAGCTGCTGCTTCCATCCTCTTTCACTCAACTCTCTTCCTTGACGCGGTTGGAGCTTAATAGCTGCTTGCTTCTTAAACTTCCGGAGGACATTGAGAAGCTAAGCAGCTTACGAGAATTGTTCATAATTTCCTGCCAAATTGAGGAGCTTCCAGAGTCGCTGACGGGCATTTCTGGCCTTGAAATTGTGGCCGTTGATTGCTGCGCAAGGCTACGAGCTGTACCATCCAGGCTGGATGCTTTCTCAAGGCTTGAATTGCTGAAGTTTGAGGAATGTGAGAACCTGACGGAATTGCCTGAATTCCTGCCACAATCTCTTGAGGAGCTCAACCTCGGGAACTCCAAAAACGTCACACCTCTGCCGAATGTCACCGTGCTGCCAAAGCTGAGGACGCTGAACCTGAAACTGGTTGAGGTTGCTTGGGCCGTGACAGCCAGCAAGGGCTTATCCCGTCTGGAGTATCTGTATCTGGAATCGTGTAATGCTAGGAAGCTTCCATTCCCATTGGTCTACCTTTCTCAGCTTCATACTTTGGCAATTGGGAGTGCCTTGAGGGTGGAGGCGCTCCCGAGTTTTGGGTCCTCGATGGTGCAGCTGCGGCAGCTGCGTATTCACGATGCCAATGAGCTGAAGGAGCTTCCAGCAAGCATTGTGGAGCTTCCGCGTTTAACGACTCTGGAGGTTCATGCTATGAAGCTGGTTTCTCTTCCCGAGAATTTGGGTGCTTTATCCAGGCTGCAAGAGCTGAACCTATCCAAATGCTCTGCCCTAGAGCATCTGCCTGCTTCTGTGACCCAGCTTGCCTTTCTTTGTCGCCTGGATGTTGAAGACAGCCTGATCCGCTCACTGCCGCCTGGGTTTGAGCGGTTGGCCAGGCTCCATTCACTGAACCTGAAGGACTGCAAGCAGCTGGAATCTCTGCCTGAGAATTTCACCAGGCTCAAGATGTTGCGGGACCGTTTTGTTGAGGGGTGCTCTAATTTAATTGATGCTGAGGGTTTTGTGCGTCCTTGTGGCGTACATTCGATGAAAGGGTTGAAAATTCTAATCCACCGGTACGGTAATGCATACATCTGCCTTACGCCTCCTGTTTGTTGATGCATCACCCTGTTGAAGCTATTTGTTGCAGCAATTCTTGTTTGTAAGAACTTGATTAGTGCACGTTTATCCTGCGCTTTATCGTGTCATTTATACAGGTTAAGTGCTACTTACGCCACCCGAACAATGACACCGAAAAACAGCGTTGCAATGCAATATCGAGAGAGATCCCTCATCAGTCAACTTTGCTGGGTCCTCCGATCTTCGTAGTGTAGCAGCACTGGGTGGGTCTGGCCTGGTAGATCTAGGATTTCTGCTACCAAGTCTACACACTTTGCCTAGAGAAGTCAGTGATGCAGCTAGCGTGCTTATTAACTCTAGGGCTCTCTCACATGTTTCTTTACTATGC